TGTGTGTGTGTGTGTGTTGAAACTTGCTGTGTAGGCCAAGCTGACCTCAAAACTCCCACCTTGGCCTCCCCAGGTTCACAAAATCCCAGGTATTTTCTACCATGCTTGACTTCTCTGTGGATTATGGAAGACTTTGATGATAGTAGAATTGTAGTTAGTATTGAAAGTGTAACTTCATTTCTTTAAAAAAAATAGCGTCGGTGTATTCTTGAAAGTCTCTGTTGAAGAGAAGGCAGGGATGAACAACAAATGTTTCAGAAAACTTCCCTCCTGGGGTTGTGGAGATGGCTCCGTCGGCAAAGCACTGGTTCTGCAAGCTTGAGAAACTGGATTCAGCTCTTCAGAACCAACCAACAAACAAGCAAACAAACCAACAAAAAGGGTTATGAGCAGCCGCAGGTACCTGCAATTGCAGGACTGGGGAGGCAAAGGCAAAGGCTCCCTGGAGCTTGCTAGCTAGTCAACATAGCCAACTGGACAAGCTCATGTTCCAATGATAGAGCCTGTCTCAACAAAATCAGGTTAAAAGGGTCAGGGAGATAGCTCACGTATATGGGGGTTCAGAGTCCCAGAATCTATAGAAAAGCTGGATAAACATTAGAAGCTTGCTTTGAATCCTAGCAGAGTGAGAGAATTATTGAATCACACTGGGTATCCAAACTAACCAAATAATAACCTCTGGGTTCAATCAGAGATCCTGACTCTGTGTATAAGATGGATAATGGTTTAGAAAGATTCCTGACATCAAGCCCAAGCCTACACACACAAACACACACACATACACACAAAAACACACACACTCCTATGGGCACATGAAAATGTGCACACACACACCAAGACAATAAATGAGATGGAGAACAATAGAGGAAGGCACACACACACACACACACACACACACACACACACACACACCCCACACACTTTTAATTTGAAAATGAAGTTTTACAACATAAAACTTAAAAGAAGAGAACAGTCATGTGGCTAGACAGCTTGCTCCTAGCAATACCTTATCTCTTGGCCGTGCTCCTTGCCTAGGCTATTGATGAGCCCATAGTGGAAGTCCTCCCCAGGTGGAAAGGATATTGACGACAGTCAATGTTAGTGGAGAATGTGGACCGCTTAGGATTGCTTCTAAGCAATAATGATGCAGAAAGGCTCAATCCCCCCCAACTCTAGGACTGTTCTGACTCCCTGTAGGGTTGCTGATTAGAGGTAGAAGTGGGGAATTAATAGATAGCATGCAAGCACAAGCATTCATTTCTTTTCTCTATTAACTGATTGCTCATTAAGAGCTCTAGACCTAATGACTTTAAGCAACCCAATTCTCTCCTTGCCCCCTTGTGTACCAAAATTTGGTTTCTACAACAACGGGACAAGAAAGAGGAGACATTTATGGAGGCCCTCCCAAAACTTCTGGAAAAAGGATGTTATATAAATCTTATTAGGACGTGATACAAATCACAGCTGAGGAGTATGGCAAACCTAGTCCCTGGATTTCTCCAGTGGCATCTTAGATCTACTGGGAGCCTGCTTTCCTGAGGCGAGTTAAATAGAAGGGATCACAGACAGCAAATTGAACTCTGCCCTTAACATGTCTGATGTTAATAGCAATCAAAATTGATTGGTTCCCTGTTCTTTTGTTGTTGTCTACAGAATTATGCGAAACTCATCCCTGGGGCGACCGTCGGACTGCTGCAGAAAGACTCTGGGAACGTCCTTCAGCTGATCATCTCGGCTTATGAAGTATGCTATCTCACTTTGCGAGCAGTTGGCTTCCTTTTCAGCATTCCATTGGCATCTAGACACTAAGACGTAGGTAGCGAAACACACTTTCATTTGTTTGTAGGAGGGCTGCCCATCCAGAGAAAACCCCTCTGCGTTCATGCAGCTAAAATATACATTTCTATTTACTTCACCCATCTTCCCCAATGGAGCAGCAGGTAGAACAACCAAGTCCTGACCCCAACTGAGGCTTGTTGTAGAATAGTGGCCTGCAGAAGCGTGGCCTCCCGCAAAGCCTGAATACAACCAAAAAGACTTGGAGTTGTGATGGTACTCCTCTCTGCTAAAACAAGCAGACAAAAAACAGCATAAATTGCCAGCGAGTAATATTTATGGTGGAACCAATTCCACAGTTTCAAAGGAGAGCAGATCAAACACAAACAAAACTGCAAGGCCTGACCCCAAACCAAAATACCAAGCCCTTGTTGTATCAGGTTTCCTATTCTGTATCTCCAGAGGAGTGGAGGGCCCCGTCTGAGCTTCTTTCCCTGTTGCTCTGATAAGACATCCCGGGAAAAACATCTTAAGGAAGAAAGGCTTGGTTTGGGCTCATAGTTTCTGGTCGGAGTCTATCACAGTGGAGCAGTCGGGCCAAGAGCTGGGGAGCAAAGTGAGACAGGCTCTCCTCTGACACATGCCACATATCACATGGTAGCTTTCAAGCTCCGGGAGGCTGGGCTTCCCACTGTATCCTGGAACTCGGAGCTGAAATGAACCATTTGCCCCCTAGGTTGTTTTTATCACTGTATTTTATCACAGAAACAGGGAAAAGCACAAGATAGACGCAGATCGATTGATCTATTTATTTATTTAATTTGCATTGACTTGTGAAGCCATTCTGAGGACTGAATTCCCCTCCTCGACAAAGGCATACAGATGAGGTTGCTGTGTTTTCTGTGTCCCCATTGTCTAACTCAGTTGGTCAATACTGGGTTGCCACTGCTGTTTTTATTTTGGTTCTAAATACTATTTTCCCTTCCTGACTGAAAAATAACAACAACAACAATAATAATAATCCAATTTGAACAGACATAAAAACTTTTAGAGATCAGTAACTCTCTAGTCTTTCTTCAAAAAGTATTTACCTAATAATGAATGAACTAAATTCTCCAAATTATTGATGTTTGGAAATTGCACATTCATGACCCATACATAATGACATACACTAATACTGGGTGTCTGCCAAGCCAGTGTTCCTTGATTAAATAACAGGCCAGAGTTACCTGAGAAGCTTTTAGAAAAGCTTGTCCTGCTCAGATTCCTTTCACAGACACCCTGTAGGCATTCAGAGGAAGGGAAGAAACGTGTTTGGAAGAGAAAGATACCTTCCGTGTGATTTTGACAACACCCCACCGATTCTGAAACTTGTGCAACAAGGAGGAAGGCAAGCTGGCCCTTCACAAAAATGTCATTTTTCAGAGAATGAAACACAGTTATTTCCACTAAAACTGTCCAATGTTGGGGATTTCCCTTCCTAGCAATGCTCAGATATTGCAGCTTTCTTAGCGTTCATCAAAAATTAATCACCATGTCAGCTCATCCTTAAAATTCTTCCAGACAGGAAGAACTGTCAACAAAACTCACAGAAACACCCCTCCCCCATTCCCCATTCTCATGCACTAATTAAAGTTCTAATGTGTAAAATCAAAAAGAATCACAAAACAATTCTCCACTGGATTATAACGCTTTTCATTTTCTTTAACTTTATTCTCTCAAAAGTGTTGACTGCTAACCACTTCAAAGAAATTAGGCAAATGAGGAAACAGGATTGTCAAAAATGTTTAGCCACCCCATCATCCAACCCCTTCTACACCCCTACTTGCTCTGTTCCAGGGTATGTCTCACTTTGCATTCCCAAATTGCTCACACAATTTACAAGGTAGCTAAGATCAAGTCATTACACATTTGAATGGAATCTTGGATTGTTATTTACTGCCTCAAAAATACCAAGGCTTGGGGCTGGAAAGATGGCTCTGGGGTTAGCAACACTGGCTACTCTTGCAGAGAATCTGGGTTTGATTCCCAACGTGGCATTCCACAACCATCTGTAACTCCAGTTCCAGGGGGGATCTGATGCCCTTTCCTGTCCTCCACTGGCACCAGGCACACACACGGTACACAGGCACACATACAGGCAAAACAACACTCATGTATGTAAAATAAAACAAGAAGCACCTATCACTCTGCTGAGTTACATTATCCTGGAGTTCTTGTTGGAGCAGTGTGATCTACGAGGTGACGTGTGCAAGAAATTGTGACATTTGTCTAACTTATTACTTTTTTACTCTGTTGTTCTTAAATATCTTTGAAAAAGACTTTCAAATTGAGGAAACTATAGACTGAATATCTTCTTCATTATATGAAGAAAGAATATAGTGAGAGAAAGCAAAGAACTTCTGATTAACTTCTAGCAAGGCACAAGCAATTTGTGGCTACAAACATCAGTTAAATATTCTTAAATGCCATCTTGATATAAAAAATCTTAAAACCGGTTGTGCGCTTGCTCACCCACCCACTAGTTTCCTTCCTTCCTTTATTACACACTAAAGGCAACTGGAGTGTCAGTGGTCTCAGGGTGGGCTCCTCTCCTGGAATTTGATCTCTAGCAAGAAATTCATTTGTGTTCTTTGCCCAGCCTTGTAGGAGATGCTTAAAAAATTAATGAGTGAAATGATGAAAAATATAAATTAGCATTTATACTCTTTCCTTGGGAAATGTGTGTTAATAATATTCCCAGTCAAATTTGCACACTAGTACTCAATTATTCCAATGCTGAGGTTCTCCTCACTTCGGTTAGGCAATGCCACCCGCTGGTCCTTATCTTCGTCACCAGCACACGCGTTCCTCTTTCCTTACGTGGCTTCTGATTCCCTCTGCCACTCTCTCCAGCACTACTTCTCCCTAATTCCTCATGAGTCCCGTATAAGTACGCTTTGGATGGCTGGGGTGATAGCCTGTTCAAAAAAGAGCTTACCTTGCAAGGGTGAGCACTAATGTTGGATTCCCAGAACCCATAGAGAAATGCTGGAAACGAAGGTACACGCTTGCAATCCCTTTCTTGTGAGGGCAGAGACAAGCAGGTCCCTGGAGTTTGCTGGCTAGTCAGCCTGGCCAACTTGGTGAGTATGAGGCCAATGAGAGACTCAGACTCAAAAGACAAGGTGGAATAAAAAAGACAAGGTGGATGGTCTCTGAGGAACAACACCGACTTGTCCTGTGGCTTCTGCACACACGTGTACAAATGTGCACTATTGCACACACACATACACACACATACCAGGTTTTGGAATAAGTAGAATTACCTTTCTGTGCAGTTGGCAAGATTATACTTCAGAAAAAAATTGAAGCCAAATGTGTTTTTGTAAAGTCAAAAGTGAGGGAAGGGGATATAGCTCAATGGTAGAGTGCTTACGAACACATTCAGCCACCAGTATCATAGGCAAATAGACAGACAGACAGGATAAATGATACACACCAACAGTAAAATAGATATGAACTAAAAATCTTTAGAATGAGTTGAAATATAACTCAACTCAGTATGGTAAGTGTTTTTATTGTTTGATAGTTTGGTTTTGTCAAGAAATAGAAAAGGCAAGTTGAGAACCTTCCAGAACAGAAATCCCGTCTTCATCTGCCAAGATCTGCCTTGATATTCAAGGCACAATAATCCTCCCAATAGCTTTAAGGTGCAGTTCTCACATACACCATACTTCAACAGCCTGAAAACCTGGAGGGCTGGAGGGTGTAACTCAGTAGTGAGTACTGGGGTGAGCTAGAGTGTGTAACTCAGTAGTGAGTGCTGGGGTGAGCTGGAGGGTGTAACTCAGTAGTGAGTGCTGGGAGGGTGTAACTCAGTAGTGAGCAGTGGGGAGAACTGGAGGGTGTAACTCAGTAGTGAGAGCTGGAGGGTGTAACTCAGTAGTGAGCACTGGGGTGAGCTAGAGGGTGTAACTCAGTAGTGAGAGCTGGAGGGTGTAACTCAGTAGTGAGCACTGGGGTGGCAGGCCACAGGCCCTATGTTTGATCTGCAGGCTGGTAAGAAAACAAATATAGATCCATTTGGTAATTACTGAAGTCTTTACACCACCCTATGCCAGGTGGCTATCACAGTCTTCATCCACAATTGAGATTACTGCCCTTTCGAGCTATTACACGCATTTTTGCTACTTTAAGCATTGTGTAGTTGCTGTTGTAAAACATGCTTAAAATCTTTGAACTGTGATTCAACACTGAGACAAAATGTTGTCATGTAGGCAGAAATGTGCCTAATAAGAAGTAGGCTGTAGATTTGTTATCAGTGAAGCAAATAGTCATTGTTGGGGGGTGGATGCGGTTCCTCTCTCCTCACCAAGCAACACTGGCTGCTCTGTGAGAACTAAGAAACAGCAATGCATTCAAATAAAGGATACCATTGTAACATTTTACCACTGGTACATAAGCAAAATAATTATCTTTTTGAAACCAAGCTTTGCGACCCAGGTCTGGCGAATTTCCTGAAATCTCCAGAATGAATGAAACAGCTTTCAGGCAATAATTGACTGTCACATGTCTGTCACACACGGTGCAAAACCCCCTTGGATATGTTTTTATAGCTCAATTGCTGTAAGATAGCATATCTTGGCATTGATGATGTCTGAGAAATATATATATATGTATGTGTGTGTCTGTGTATAACATATACATCACGTATATATATCACATTCTTGCTTGATTAATGAAATGGTGAATTTTATATCAATTTGGTTTTATTAATGTATAGTTGTTTCTCCATGTGTGTATGATGTGTGAACATGCGTGAGCACACTCACACGTGCCCCAGCACGCTTGCGCGTGTGGTTCTCACCTTTCACTTTGCTGCAGACAGGGTCTCTTGTTAATTCACTGCTACATACACCAGAAAGCCTCCAGGGCTTCTTGTGTCTCTACCTGCCATCTCATGAGAGACTCCAGAACCCTCCTTACATGGATTCTGAGACTTGAACTCAGACCCTCACACTTCCACACCAAGAAGCCTTTCCCGTGGAGCCATTTCCCTTGTTCTTTCTTTTGTCCTTTAATGAGCACAATTTGATTAGGTTTCTTCTTCTGGCTGGATTTATTTTTGCTTCAGACTTCATTTAACCTTTTCTTGTCTACACTGAAGGAACTGCGGTCTGAGGTGGAACTGGAGGTATTGGGAGACACAGAAGGACTCAGTCTGTCTTTCACAGCTCTCTGCAACAATGGCATCATCCTCCCCAACCAGAAGAAATGCTCCCACATGAAAGTTGGGGATACGGTAAGTAGATACCCAGTAGATCTTTAGAAATATTATTCAGAGCCGGAGAGACGGCACAGGGGGTAGAGCGCCTGACCGCTCTGCCGGAGGACCGAGGTTCGATTCCCAGCCCAGGGCAAGTAGTTCTGTACCGTCTGTCAGTGCCCCCCACCGGCCTGCAGAACGACCCACAGGCTTCCACCGTCCACTGAAGATCCCCGTAGAGTAGTAGGCAAAAAAGAAAGAAAGAAAGAAAGAAAGAAAGAAAGAAAGAAAGGAAGGACGGAAGGAAGGAAGGAAGGAAGGAAGGAAGGAAGGAAGAAAGAAAGAAAGAAAGAAAGAAAGAAAGAAAGAAAGAAAGAAAGAAAGAGGAAAAAAAGAAATACTATTCAGATGGGTCTGACACTAGATCAACTTGCTAAAGCTGGACTTCTTGGGAAAATTTTAATCCTTTCCTACTAAATGCTTTTGGCAAAGCCAGTCTCTACCAGCCTTGTCCCAAGTCCTATAGGCTGCTGGATGGAGGGAGCAGATAACCGGCGTTTTCTTTTCTAGGCATCCTTCAATGTGACCGTGAGCATATCCAACTGCGAGAAAAGGAGCCGAAGCCTCATCATAAAGCCCGTGGGGCTGGGGGACACCGTGGATGTCCTCGTCACGGCAGAATGTGACTGCCGCTGCCAGAGGGAAGTAGAAGCCAACAGTTCTAAATGCCACCACGGTAACGGCTCCTTCCAGTGTGGGGTGTGCGCCTGCAACCCCGGCCACATGGGCCCTCACTGTGAGTGCGGCGAGGACATGGTCAGCATGGACTCTTGCAAGGAGGCCCCGGGACAGCCCTCGTGCAGTGGAAGAGGTGATTGCTATTGTGGGCAGTGCATCTGCCACTTATCGCCCTATGGGAGCATCTACGGACCTTACTGCCAGTGCGACAACTTCTCCTGCCTGCGACACAAAGGCCTGCTCTGTGGAGGTAGGCTATGGACCGGGGTTTTCGCCTTTCATTCCTTCCTCGCGTTCCTGGGCTTAGAGGTTGTTCATAAAATATTTGCCGATGGCTGCAGTGGGTGAATCCTTAGACTTGGCGTAACTGGGCTATCTCTTGCGTTTGCTGCCTGTCTAACGTTCCTTTGGGGTCTGTGGAGCTTATATTTACATTATATTTAAATATTGCTATTCCATAAGGTGAAGTAGACAAAAGTTGGAGATGTTGTCTTTCTAGTTACCACCCAGGTTCCACAAAACTGGCTATTATCTGAATTCCACTGTCTGCCAGACTTTTCTAGAATAAGTGCTGGGTCTGACCCTATTCTTATATCTTTTACTTTGAAAAAAAATGAAGAAGAAGTAGTTAACAGAGACTATCAAAAGAACGGAATCAAGGAAAAGGCCCAGAAATGCTAATTAGATTTAAGGGCCTTCACTTATCATACATCCCTCTCTCCCACCCTCCCTCTCTCTTTTTCTCTTTCTCCCCACTCTCTCCCCTCTTCCCTACCTCCGTTCCTCCTCCCTCCATCTTTAGACTCACAGTCCTCCTGTCTCAGGCTCCCAAGCACTGGGATTACAGGTGACGATATCATACCTGGTCATGAATACTCACCAAACATACCAGGTTAGGGACTGGACCAAGTAAAGCCAGGCAAGCACACCTGTAAGAGAGCCTATGAAATGAATGAACGGCAAAAATAGCTTGGAATTCCTTGAAACTTTCAAGAAAGGTTTAAAATATAAATATCTGTGCTTTTATTTCTCTTGTAGATACAGAAACACAGTAAGAACACACCACAGAGGCCAGGGGTGGTGGCCCACACATGCCTTTAGTGCCAGCACTTAGAGGCAGAGGTAGTCAGAGCTCTATGAGTTCAAGCCTAGCCTGGTCTACACTGTGAGTTTCAGACCAGCCAAGACTTCATAGCGAGACTCCCATCTCTCTCAAAACAAACAAACAACAAAAAGAATTGGCTATAGATGTTGGAAAGATGGCTTTGTGATTAAGAGGACATACTCTTCTTTAGGGGACCTGAATTTGGTTCCTAGGGCTCTTGATAGATGGCTTTTAATTGTAACTCCCATTCCATGGGCTCGGATGCCCTCTTCTGGCCTCGATGAACACCCACACACATGTGGCATTCACTGATACACATACACATGAATACAGATAATAACAATAAAGTTTTAGGGGTTCAGCAGTTAGCACATTCAGAGGACCTATGCTCAATTCCTAGCACCCATGTCAGGTGACCCACAGCTGCCTGTAACTCCAGCTCCAGAGGGTCAAATCCCTCTAGCCTCTGTGGGCACCTGTACTTGTGTGCACAGACACATATGTACAAATAAGAAAAGCAAGCAGTTGAAAATGAGCCTTTTAAAAAGAGGGGGGGAAGATGCTACATCAAACACAATTCAAAATTATTCTGATACACGTATTTAATGATAACCTACTCTGGCAGGAGCTGCAGCTATGTTGACATGGTTTTAAATTTGAAGTTTTAATTGGCTCTTGATTAAACTTAGACACCCTGGTTACCCCATGATGTAAGCAGTGGTCTCAACAAAATGGAACATCATCTTTACAGAAAACTAAGCAAGTTTTATTTCCAAATCAACGTCAGAAACAAAGAAAAGACTAATTTTCTCAGGGATCAGGAGGTTGAAGTGGGAGAATCAGAAGCTGAAGGTAATGAGACAAATAAATAAAACAAACAAAAAAAACAAAGAAGGAGATGAAAAGAAAGAAATAAAGGAAAGAAAGAAGGAAGGAAGGACAGAAGGAAAGAAGTTAACAAAAGAAGGAGGAAGGAAGAAAGGCTCAAAGAATTCCAAGTGTTTTTGAAAACCACATGAATGCATTTACCTTGAAGAACATACATTTCCCTCCCCTTTTCATTCAAACTTTCACTTTCTGATTCCAGTGTGTGTGTGTGTGTGAGAGAGAGAGAGAGAGAGAGAGAGAGAGAGAGAGCACGTCTGTACAAACCCACATCAGCTATCTATCTATCTATCTATCTATCTATCTATCTATCTATCTATTTTACTGGATTTTGGCAGGACACAACCTGTAGGTGACAAGAAGCTAGCCAATGTCAAAGCCTTCCTCACACAGTAGGAAGGATACGTTTGCCAGGCGCTCACACTGCCTTTTTAGTAAAACACATGAAAATCTTTTTGAGAGCCCCAACTGGAACATAATCTAATCTAATCTAATGGGGATAGTAACCCTCCCAATATTCCAGTACTAAATCCTGCATTTAAAGATCTAAAACAACAGGAATTGCTGGCGCATGCTCTACAACACAGCGGTCCCCACCCCCATTTCTTTCTTTTCTAAAAATGTGTGTAGAGCATCAGGAATATACTCAAAAGAGTTTACTCAACCTATACACTGTATAGTTAGGAAGATCAGACAATAATGACATTCTTCAAATCAGATGCAGGAATCGCAAGAAATTCTCTTTAGGAAACAAGATTTCTTTAGCTGCACTCAGAAACCTCGGTCAGTGCCAAGTTCCTTCACACTTGAGTGCCTTCTCCTCTAAGAGGCACAGGAAAGTACAAACAAGTATTCAAGTCCAGCCAGGATTGGCAAGACAGCCTCCGTGTGTCCAGGACTGGGCACAGCATCAGGGAGGGAGACTTTCCCTCCCTGATGCCATCCTCCCAGCCGTGACAGGCCGAAGTCACCAGACACGCCACTCACAAGTTGCATGGATCTCACTTACGCCATCAGCAATCGACTTGACAGCGCGCTGCTTCTCTGAAAAGCTTTTATCACGGCGCGCTTTGTCATACAGTCTCTTTCATCCATCTCGGAGCACTCAGAGATAGAAGGCCCCATTGATTCTGTTTATCCTTGCCCAAATTCCATTAGTCTATTTTGATTCTAAGAGACTGGGAGCCATATCAGGCAAATGGTATTAGAGAAGAAACTCCTTGTGATTATGCACGGAGAGTTATTTTTTCAGGGGCATTCCGGAATGATCTATCCCTCTGAAAAGAGCCTGGTAATTTTTTTCCCTAGATCTTGGGTTATCATCTTGCTTATACAAGAGACCAATATAAAGGCGGCACTGTGGTGGCGAGAGCTGGTACTGCAGTGGTTTGTTGCCCAAGGACCTCAACTGGCACCTTCAGTGACCTAGATGATGGGCCTGAAAGGCCAGTGGAATAGAGGGTTTCTAAGTTCAGAAAGTCATATTTTATATTTTTGTTGTGGTGGTCATTTTTTTTAATGTTCCAGGAAGGATTTTCTAAACTGCCAAGGAATTCTTATCTACAGAAGTATAGCGGAAATCTATAATCTGGAAATGTGCATTTATGCCCCGTGCTGATTTTCAGAATAAATTACAACCCAGAGCTTTTCTCCCTTTCGTAGATGGTTCCTCTTCCTGGGGAAGTGGGAGGGAAGGATATCAGACACAGAGAATCCACACACATCCCAGGGGCATTCAGAACGCAACTTCGAAAGCTCTGTGGTTTAGCCAGCATATGATGGACTCTGCTATCATCCGTCTCTTAAGGCCCACAGACACAGCCAGAAACGTAGCCAACTACTAGAACCCAGTCTGCAAGAGGAAAGTCAGTCCATGTCCCATAGTGAACTCGCCGGCATCTTCTACAAGAGAAAGCATGCACCATTTATCTTTACTTTCTTTTTAATAAAAGCATAGAACTTTGAGTATTGATAACTGGTTTTGCCCGCAAGTTCTTCCTCCTAGATAGTTTTTAGGAACCTTCTTCTGACCAGCCCTTGTGGAGCTCAGTTATGGGCCAGGTACCACTGTAAACATGGGTATAGACCCACTTAGGTAATTGCAAATTTTGCTGGAAGGGTAAAACTTTCTGCTACAAGTTGCCTGTATATGTGCCATAATTTTTTCTGGAGGCTTGTAAATGGATACTATTTGTTTGGAACACCAAATGCTTGGTTTAGCATCCTTGGCAAGCGCTCAGAACTGCATGGGAAGGATACTTACCTGAAACACACTATTTGCCAATTTAGACTGGTTCACAAACCATTCTGTGGCCTGACCAGCAGGGGCTCTTGAGTGCCAAACATTCTGCACTATCAACTCTGCCTTGTGAACATACTATGATTGGTGTGTATATTTCCACCGCCTCCTGCCATTCTCTGTCTCTGAATGCAACTCCCTTCTAAGTATCCTTGTTCACCAGCGTCCCAGGCTCTTCCTCCTGTCATCTGAGTCTGTTCTGGGCTTGGGCAGCGGCCTTGCTCCCACTTTCCTTCTCCTCTCAGCCTCCCCTGTGAGGAGCTTTTCCTCTGTCCACGTTTTACAAGCTGATGGGCTCCAGAGCGTTCTATGTTCTGCCTGCTTGCCTTAGATGACCTGATTCACAACTGCTTCACCTGAAGCCTTTCCCTAATGGATCCCAAGTGCCTTCCTTCTGGCTCATCTCTCTCTTTTCAACTGCCTGCTAAGATATCCAACAGTCCTCTCTCTCTCAAACTCAACGGAGCCATAAAGACTCACTGTCCCATCCACCCAACACTACTTTCCTGTTCTAGAACAATTCAGTCATTCAACAAGCGATCCGGGCATGCCAGGTGTTGGAGTGTGGCAGTAACCAGGAGCCAGCTTCCACTCCAGGTCATGGATCCATGCCACCGGCTGGCTATCCAGCCCGTTGGCCTAGCAAGGACTCCATCTCTCCTTCTTCATGGTGTACTATTACCCATCATGCCCTGCTCCAAGCATTCCAACTTACATTGTTTGTCCTTTCACCACTGTTCTCAGGAATGGTCCCATGGGTCAGGTCTCTGCTTCTGCAAGACATGGCAACTGCCTTTCCTGCCTCTCATTTGACCTCCCTGTGGGATTAGGATATGTCTACACACATCCTATCTGATCAGGTCACTGCCTTACATAAAATTTTGTGACCCTCTGGGAAAATACTCTTTTGCCTTGCAGCTTCTCATTGTCTCACTTGTGACATTTCATGGGCCTTCCCATCTTTCATTTGCCACACCCATCTGCACCATTGCCGCTGGCCTGTGAAACTGCTATGGTTATTGTACACATCTCCATCACCGGCTGTCATCCTCTCTCTGAAACGTATGCAACTCCCTCCTTCTAACTCCTCTTAGCTTCCAAAATCAGATCAAGCATCACTTTCAATCAAAGCCTTCCCAAAGCCCTATTTAGTTTAGAAACTCTCAGGCTGACTGTATTATCCTTAGCACTGGTAGTAATAGGTCATCAGCCTCCCACACCACAGCATAAATTCAGTAACCTTGTGCTATTGAATCTTGGTTGCCAGATACAAGACTGGAACAATAGTTGACTCTTCATTTCCATTACCTGCCACAAACAAGAGCTAAAAGTCAGTCGAAAAGTTGGTGAATGAAATTAGGTGTGTTGCAGATAACCCACTGGGAAGAGGGGAACCCCCCTCAGTTGCTTTCCATCTTTTCTAGAACCAGGGATATCTACCAGGGATAGGGAGATTCAGGGATGAGCGAGGTGATCTCTCTAAGTCCTTTCCAGAGGAAGGTGGTTCTGCTCCTGCTATTACCTGGGCCAACTCCATTCTGTGCATGGGAAGTCTGTTACATTGTCACATTTTCTTGTCCAACAAAAGCTGAGTACATGCTCAGTTAGAATCTGTTGAATAATGAGTTTTTCAATGCTTGGTATCTACCAATGGGATAGCTAATGGGGATATAAAGCTAGAACTTTCCATCTGACCAAAACCATTGTGAAAGCAGATTTCTTATTCCTGTGCTTTCTGATTTTTCAGTTATTCACCTTGGGTGATATAGAACAGTGGTTCTCAGCCTTCCTAATGCTGCCAGCCCTTTAAAGCAGGTCCTTGTGTTGTGATGACCCCAACCACAAAATTATTCTGCTGCTACTTCATAACTCTGATTTTGCTGTTATGAATTATAATGCAAATGTGATATGCAAGGATATCTGATGTGCAACCCCTGTGGGGGCTATAACCCACAGGTTGAGAACCACTGATAAAGAAGGATGGGCATTATTTCAGGTCTGTCCTTCATCTCCATCGTAAAACTCAACAATTTGCCCAAGAGCTTCAATGGGCTTGTCTGCATGATCTCATTTTGACTAGTTATTTATTCTGTTTGCTGTGATTTTCAGTTAGGAAACAAATTAGTAAATGCACATGGCCAACAAAGCATCTATCTATCATCTTTCTGTCTTTCTATCATCCATCCATCTATCTATCTATATGTCCATCCATCTATCAGTCTATTATTTATTTATATACCTGTCTATCCATGCATGCATCCATCCATATATCCATATATGCATCCATCCATCCATGCATCTATCCATACATACATACATGCATCCATCCATACATACATACATATATGCATCCATCCATTCATCATCCATCCATCCATACATACATACATACATGCATCCATCCATCCATACATACACACATACATACATACATATATGCATCCATACATCCATACATCTATTGCTTCTGTCTCTCTCCTTGCCTCTTTCTCTGTCCATCCCCTCCAACCATCTTGGAAGTGGCTTGGATCATAAGCAGCGCAGTGCACATGTTATGTTTCTATTACAGATAACGGGGACTGTGACTGTGGTGAATGCGTGTGCCGGGAAGGCTGGACTGGCGAGTACTGCAACTGTACAACCAGCAGGGACTCCTGTGCATCTGAGGACGGAGTGCTGTGCAGTGGACGTGGGGACTGCGTCTGCGGCAAGTGTGTCTGCAGGAACCCTGGAGCCTCAGGACCCACCTGCGAACGCTGTCCCACCTGCGGCGATCCTTGTAACTCTAAGCGGTAACGTCTCTACTTTCTTCTCTTCTGGGGCAAGGTTTCCGCAGAAGTTTAAATGACGTTTAAAATAAACTCAAACCCCTAATTGTCTCAGCTGGGTTTGGTCTCCATCCAGCCGCCATCAAAGCTCATAGCCCAAGGGCCGCTGTGGTCCTCATCCTGGAAGGTCAGCTCTCACCTGTCTCTTGTCCTGATTATCCAAAACCACAATGTCAGGTTTCTGCTAAAGATGGGAGTGGGGGTTGAGAATGGAGCTGATGTCCCTTACTGATAGCATCAGATGGCCTCTCAGTTGAATGCCCCGGAGATATCCTGCTGACACCCACAGGTGGTCAGTTCCTTTTCTGAGGAAACTGGGCAAACTTCTTATCTAGAGATCTGAAGCTGACCTAGCAAAAGTGGTTCCCATTCTGGTAAAACCGTAGGAGGCAGAAGAAGAAAGACAATCTTGGCTTTCACTTCTCTTCTTATGGTACACTTTGGCACCTCTGTGTATCATTATACATATATACTGTGGTTTCATTTTTATAGCATTAAGATAATAACGAAACTAAACACACCTATATTTTTATATTAAAACTGATTTCTGGTTAGCAGCTTCACTTTACAGAATTGGAACAAATCTTGGACTCCTCAAGCAGGTCTCTGAATGACTTGTGAGGTCGCAGTGTGCCAGGTTAGCAGCAAACAGGATTAAGAAGTCCATACTTTCATTAAGTCATTTCTGGGATGGTGGCATTTGCATGTGTGATATAAATAAGGAAGGAAATCAATTCCCCCCCCCCTTCAGTGGTTACCCACCAAGCCGGTGTCAAGATCTTCCTGTCACTGTCCCTGCCAAGCTTAGACACATGCCAAGCTGGGAGCTTGATTCAAATGTCAGTTGTAGTTCAGTGACAGAGTGACTGCCTAGCATGCAGGAGTCTCTGGTTTAAATCGCAGCGTCACCACCACAAAGAAAAGTAAAGTTAAGAAATTTTTTTATTCTTTTTCTCTTCCGTCTTCTTCATCAACATGAGTTAGTCTTTTATCAGGGTTATAAGATGCAAAATTAACTGTTTCCAGTTGGTTTTTACTCTTTGCTCTTTTGAGGGCCCCACCACGCAGCTCCCAGATAAATACACAGAGGCTTTATTCTTTCTTATGAATGTCTGGCCTTAGTTTGGCTTGTTTATAGCCAGATTTTCTAAAATTATCCTGTCTCCCATTTGCTTCGGGGCTTTTGTCTTCCTCTATTCTGTATACCTTTCTTTACTTCTTACTCCGTGGTTTACTGGGTTAGCTGGATGGCTGGCCCCCTCCTTCTCCTTTTTCTCATTTCTCTAATCCTCTCTTCCCAGATTTCTCTTCCTATTTATTCTTTCTGCCTGCCAGCCTTGCCTGTCCTTTCTCCTGCCTAGCTATTGGCCATTCAGCTCTTTATTAGATCAATTGGGAGTTTTAGACAAGCAAAGTAATACAGCTCACAGTTAAATAAATGCAACATAAAAGAAAGCAACACATCTTTGCATCATTAAACAGATATTCCACAGCATAAACAAATAACACATCTTCAACTAATATTCTATAGCAATTATCGAGGTTGTTCCAATTTGGGAATCAGCATCTTGATGTTAGTTTTGAGATGAGTCTATTCTTCCTTTTTCTCAGGCATTTGTTCATTTACCTAACATTACATACATGCTGCATGCCAAAAATAGTGACAAGTCATAGGCATGCAGTTAACAGTTATGGTTTCTACATTCATATGTGCTAAGGGCCTAATGGAAATGGACTTTATGTTTTGCACATGTATATGTATGTAGTGGGGGGCACATATTTGTATGTGTATAGTACACATATGTTGGTGCATGTGTGGTGGTTGAAATTACCTGGCACGAGTGAGAAGGAAACACAGAACATGCAACAAACCTGCTAAGGAGTTTATTAGAGGGGACGTGTACAGGCCAGGGGAAGTCAGTGTGCGGAGAGAGAAAGATGACGCATGCAACTTTTAAAAGCTGCCTAACACATGTGCACAGGGAGTTCACGTATCTTTGTCATACGCAGATGACAGGGCTCATGCATGCGTGCAAGCGTTTAGCTGAGTCATATGTGAATGATATAATCCACACTGCATGTGGGTCACATGGGGCCCTTTAACATCCCCGGGGGAAATTAGGCACTTCTGCCTGAGGGCTTGTCTGCTCATGCATGGCCTTAGAACCCGGAAGTATCAGCCTTATTGTGGCTGAAATCATTACATTCCTTTTGTTTATTATACAAATTTAGGGAGTTTGGGGTCTTTAATGGATGGGAACGGGGCATCTTAAGGTCTCTCGTGACTCCTTCCTACTGATTTTGTGGGTGTCGGAGAGTTGAGAAACTTGACTTGGGTGGCCGGTGACTTTTGTGTTTTTTCCAGGCTCTGTGGAACAGGCTGGCTGGCACCTTGGACCTCACAAGATGTTGGAAAGGCAGAAAATTATGTCTGGAAAAAAGTTTTAGATCCCGGTGATTAAGGGAGGAGAGTTCCAAGATGGAAGATAGAGGGTTTTTTTTTTTTTGCAGGGGGTGGAGGAGGGAATTTTCCAGGGGATTCTGAGACAAGGAATGTTAAGGGAAGAAACAAATGACACTTATTCTGGGTGAGTCCGATCCATTTAAATAGGTCCAACTGGCTCCCTGGAGTTTATGAAAAAAAAGTCTGAAAACAAATAAATTTTAGACCTGTTAAAAGCTTATAATTACAGTGGTATTGTGTTGGAATAAAAGATGGTGGGGAGGAGGTAGGAAAAGAAGGGGGAATTACTGGAAAGGGGAATGATTAGATCCCTCAATGTTTTACCTGAAGCAAATCTTAAGGCACTTGTTGTCTTTAGCATCATGGTATTACCTTAACAGCCATGAGACACTGCTGCAGTCAGTGATAAACCTGTTATGATAAAGTCTGTTTTGTGAGTCTGGAGCTGTGAATGTCCCCAAACTCATTATTGTTCCTTACCACCTGGGCTTTTGGCAATTCTTGTACCTCCGGCTCTATGTTTAATGATGGTCCCTGTAATAACAGCTGAGGGGTTAACTGGAAATTTAAGCATGACATTGGAGATATAGAGAAGCTGGTAAAGCAGACAGGAGAAAGAGGAAGAGGGAGAGGATATGGAGTTTTTGGCACAGGAGAGTTGAGTACAGTGATGAGACTTTTATTTTTCTTGAACTGGAGCTGATCTTGGTATACTCTGGAACTTAAGAGAACAGGGCCCTGTTTGAGTTACCATATACAAGGGGTATCTTGAGCTGGAAGAGTAAAAGGTTTAAGGTGAGACAGGTGGATCCAATGAGAGAGTCCCTCAAGATTGGCAGCTGTGGGATTTACAAGAATTACTTTAAAGGGGCCCTACCATTTAAGGGAAAAGGGTGAGGGGCATTGGTCTGAGGGATAGAATAGTACTTGATCTCCTATTTTAATTGGTGGTTGGCATAAATTGGCACATGACTGAGGTAATGAGTAGTCAGTAAAATCCCATAAGAGGGAGTGAAGATGGATATTAGCGGAGTAAGCAGGTGATCCGGAAAGGGAGAGGTTTTAGGTGAAAGGCCGGGGGCTAAAACCAGCTGCCCATACATGATTCAAAGGCTGAGATGGAAAGGGGGCTTTTGGGGAGAGCCCTAAGCCTAAGAAGGGCCAGAGGCAAAAGTTTCACCCAGTCAAGGTGACGCTCCTGTGACATCTTAACAAGAACATTTGAAGAGAGACCACTGAAGAGCTAATGACCTGGAGGTCTTGAACCAGGCAATAAGTTCTGCTAGGTTTTTTTAGCAGCAAGTATAGGGTTGTTTAAAGGAAAAGAGGTGGGGCGAAGTAGCTTTTTTCCTAGAAGGTCAGAGATAAGAGGCTTAAGTTCCCTAAGGCTCTGGAGAGAGAGGGCGTACTGAGAGCTTGGGTAATGTACTTAGTAGGGTCTTATAATTGGATATCAGTGGGGAGATGGTGTTTAGCAACAGAAGGGTTTTGGGTGCTCTAGACTTGGGGGTTCACCTGAGAGGCTGATAGAGGAAAAGACGTTGGAGCTAGGAGTTTGGGAGGTTAGGAGGAGGAGAAAGGGAGTTGCTGGCAAGTCTGGGCAAGGTGAATGGAAGGAGCAAATGAAATGGAAGTTCCTAGTTTTGCTAAAAAGTCTCTTCTCATTAGAGGTACCAGGCAGGTTGGCATGACTGAAAATGAATGAGTGAGATAAATACTCCTAAAAACACAGTTAAGTGGTGGGGTCTGCTGAGGTAGATAAGGCTGTCCCCCTACCCCGACAATAGGGAAACTAGAATTCCCTCAGTACCGAGTATGTGGCTCCAGTGTCCAAGAGAAAGGAGATGGGCTGTCCTGATAGCGTGATGTTTACCCGTGACTCCCTGTTAAAGATGACATTTGTGGTTGGTTCAAAGGAGCCCAGACAGTTTCACTCATCCATGGCCAGACCTAGAAGGTCAATTTAGGAAGTTCCTGGGTTTGATGTCTCTGTGCCACTGTATGCACGGGGACAATCTACTGCCCAATGTCCTTCCTTATGGTATCTTGGACAAGGTCTCGTGGGACCAAGATGAGGATTAGGGCATGCTCGGTCCCAGTGACCAGTTCTACCATATTTGAAACCCAGGCCTGGTGGTTTTCAAGCTCTGGGGGGCAAGGGAGCAGCAGGTACAGCATGGATTGGGGGGTCTGTTGCCTTGGTCAGCCAGAGGGCTGTGGCTAACACGTGACAGTGATGATTGCCGGCTTTGTCATTCCTCCCATGGTACACCTTAAAAGCCACCTCTAAGACTTCTGCCTATGGGGTCAAGGGGCCTTTCTCCAAACGTCTAAGTTTAGCCTTAATGTCAGGGTAGCACTGAGAAAAAAAATGAGTCATGAATAACTGCCTTCATGGTTTCTGGATGTAAGTTAGTATATATTGTACCAGAGCGTTAGTGACACATTCCAAAATTGCAGAAGGATTTTCCTTCATATCTTGAATGACCTCTGAGAGCTAACTTATTATAGTCTACTGGCTTGAGGCTAGCCTTACAGAGACCTGCCAGGAGGCAAACCAAAAACCGGTCCCTAGCTAAAATTCCACCTGAAGTGTTATAGTCCCAGTGTGGTTCCTGCTCGGGGATCGCCGCCTCTGCCCCTGGAGGGTGTGTTGCATGTGTTTGACGAATCTCATCTGCATGTAGTCTGGCATGTTCCCAAACTTGCCTGCACTCTTCAGTAAGTAGGTTATTAGACAGGATCATATAGATATCATGAAAGGGGGGCTTGGAGCTTAGGTAGTAAAAGGCTTGGATATAAAGAAACTCCTTCCATTCGCCTGTGTGCTGACAGTAGTTAGAAAGCTCCTGTAAAATAAATAGCAGATCAAAAGTGCCATTAGGCGGCCACTTTAAATGGTTTTCTAAATTGTAACAAGGCCATATTTTTTTAAAAAACAAAGATGGGCAAGTGTGGGTATCTATAAGTAGGGCATTATGGCCTGGGGTTTCAGGGCTCTAAAATGCATCCCAGGAGGGAGGCTGTATTGATGGTCTTGGATGACTTGCTACCTGTCAGGGTCCAACCCCAATGTAAATTATCCCTCTGGACCACCGAGGAGGCACAGGAATAACTGAGGCACAGGTCACACAGCATTATCGGAAGGGAGTCTCAGGGTCCGTTCAAATCCTGAAGATCACAAACGTTTATTCTCAAAACAGCTTTTCTATCCAAAGGTAAACTGAGGGGGAAGTTCTTTAGCATTCTGTTTCTGGGGTAGCGGGACTAAAGTCACGTCTGCAACTATGGCTGCTCTGTCCCTAGCATGGATTAACACCTCTTCCTGGGCGATATATGTAATTACAAAGAAGGGAGCAGAAGAACATTAGCATCGTCTGACCCAGGCGACAGCCTGTCTGTAAGTGTTAGGTGACCACCTCAGGTGCCAACTGTACAACATACAATGCAAAAATATGTAGCATGTATAATAATGACCCATGGCTATCCATATCTAAAACATGGAAACAGCAACACCACAAGGCTTATGGGGAATGTCTCCCCTGTATAAGCAGGGTGTAAAATGGCGGCAAACACCACAGGGCTTGGAGAGCATCCTCTACCTACAGTCAAGGGAGGACTGACCCACGGTTGTCAAAACATGATTTTAGATAAGGGAAGCAATCCAGAGTTGATGTCAGTGAAGGGCTCTACCGTAGTCATGAAGGCTGTGGTTGGAGGCTATTCCCCCATTTCTAGGAACGCCAGAAAATTACTATGAGCTCAACGATCAATTCCTCAGGTTCGGAGAAAGAGTTAAGCTGATCAGAATGGTGGTGTGTGTAGAAATCATGCTCAGGCAGATGGAACACATGGTTGTGGAAAAAATACCTGGTTCCAGATCCCAACCCCGGGCTCGGGGCGGGAGAGCCAGCCAAGCCATGCCGCCAATGAAGTTACCTGGTGTGAGAAGGAAACATGGAACACACAACAAACCCGCTTAGGAGTTTATTAGAGGGGGCATGTACAGGTCTGGGGAAGTCAGTGTGCAGAGAGAGGGAGGAAGATGGCATGTCCAGTTTTTAAAAGCTGCCTAGCGCATGTGCACAGGGGGTTGATGTGGCTACGTCATACACAGATGGCCTCATGCATGCACACAAGGGCTTAACTGAGTCATACGTGGGTGATATAATCCACGCCACACATGGGTCACACAGGGCCCTTTATCATCCCCGGGGGGGGGGCATTAGGCACTTTTGCCTGAGGGCTTGTTGCACATGCATGGCCCCTAGAACCCAGAAGTATCAGCCTTCTTGTGGCTGAAATCATTATAGTGGTCTTGTAGGCAAGAAGTTGTTTGGCATCAGATGTCCTCCTTGATCACATTCCCCCTTTGTTCATTGAATTGGGTCTATGAACCCAGAGTTCTCCAATTCCAGATAATCTGGCTAGCCAGTTTGCCACAGCTCCCCTGTTCTGCCTCCGGAGTGCTGGGATTACTGGTGGCTGCCACACTTGCCTGGATTTTATGTGGACTCTGGAGATCTGAACTCTGGTCCTCTTACTTGCATGCCAAGCTCCTTATCCACTGAGCCAGGCCCAATCCCTATTTCCTTTTCAAGTAATTAACAGAGGTATGTGGGCTGCAGTCACAGTGGGGCTGTAGAGGATGCTGGGAATAGACAAGATGGCTGGGGCAGTCATAGTAAGACACACAAAGGCAGATGAAGGGTCTCTACAGTGTGCTCCAAGCCCCCACCAAGCCTGCCCAGAAATACTCAAAACGCAAAAGCAGCTTCAAGACAAGACTGTGCTCTCCTTCTCACATGGTTGCTGACCCAAGCCCTGCCTAGAGAGCAACAGTTCTCAACCTGTGGGTCTCGAATCTCAATAGGAGTCACATATAGGACATCCTGCTTATCAGATATTTACATTAAGATTCATAACAGAAAAAGTGCAGTTATGAAGTCAACAGTGAAATAATTTTATGATTGGGTGTCCTAACAAAGGAAATAGTTTCAGCTGACATCCCATGGGCATGAAGATTAAGTCCTTTGAAGACTACCCATTCAACCATGTGTATGCACACAGACACTTCTGCAGATTTGTACTACTGCAAACTGGATCTATTTGTAAAGTTCTTTGTAGCACAAGATACAATCTAGGCCTACATATTACTTTTGTCTATAGGCATCTTTAAAGTAGTGGATTTCCTTGTATTCTTGGAAATATACTTTCTAAAAGCAGCAATCTTTTATTTAGAAGCCTGAATTAATGAAGATCCAGGCTATAATCCTAAGCCTTAGAAACACACTTCCAAGATTTATACTTATTCAAAAAGAGCAATATAAAATTGAATTTTAGAATAATCCTATTTGACATATATTAAGAGCACCCATCATTCTTAGAATTCTTGCTGAGATATGGATCATTTGGGTTAAGAAATTCATGATTTTCCTAGATTCTAGTCATATTTATGGATATAAACTCTCCATTATGTCAAAATATGAAACAAAAATATAGCTAAAACACTGAAGTGTTTTTTTCTTAGCCAATCAGGAGCCATCACTACAGAATAGATGTTGTCATCAAGGCTTACTCAGGGAGCACCGAGTATGGAGTAGGAGTCAGAACAATTTAGCATTCTCTTAGAAGTCATCCAACTCTTTCTGAAAGAGGTCAATCTCCCCATTGAGAAGAGTAAAGCAGCATGCTGGCCGCATGCCTGTTCTCCACCTCTGTGAGCTGATGAACTCTGTTGTCCCCACAGGAGCTGCATCGAATGCTACCTGTCTGCAGATGGCCAGGACCAAGAGTGCATGGAAAAGTGCCAAGCCACCGGCGCCACCATCAGCGAGGAAGGTGCTCCTTGTCTTAAATCCATAGCTCTTGAGGGGCAGAAACTGTGGGAGTCAAGGGACTCCCAGGATCTTGACTTCATTTGTACCAGGAGCTAGGTGCTGAGGTTCTCTGTCCCCTTTTGAAGGATAAATGCATTTTCTAAAGAAATAATGGCACAAGAAGCACGCCATTTAAAGTCATGGTTGTTCTATCAATCTTCAGTTCTGTTAGGGAGTTCATCCCCGCTTGGCAGGGGTGTCTAGTGAATTCTACAAGGCTGTGTTTTCCAAACTCGTAAGAAGGAAAATGGAAGAAATGACTCTTAACTGCCACTGACAGCCTGAAATTTTTCTATGTCACAGGTTTGCCTTATTTCAAGATAAGATAAAACCTGCCCTAACGGTTTGCCTGACTGCACTTTACAGATCCTGGAAGCATTCTGCTCAGGATCTAGCTGGACTTTGTCAACCCCTCCATTGTCCCTCCTAGTGATTTTACTTCCTCCCAGCCATGGGTATTAAATTACCATCCTCCCAGTCATGGGTATTACAACACCATCCCCCCCATCCCTCTTGACTCATCCTCCGAATTCAAGAAGTCCCTCTTCTAACTACTAAGCGAGGTGGGCGTCTGCTTACTCCTGTCATGTTTAATTATGTAAAATGAGGATCTAGTGGCAAAATCTCATCCCAAATATTTAATGCCCCTGCATGTTAGATGAGCAGGAGAAAAGATATTTAAAAAGGGATGTGGGAACTTTACAATAAAAGAGATGGCCGACACTTCCTTAAAGGACAGCTAGGACCACCTGGGCTCAGAGCATCTCAAACTGCATTAGATTGCTACACCGGCATGGCTCTGTGTGTTTTAGAGGTGTGCCTGGGATGTAGCTCAGGCGAAGGGGATCCAATCAGGATAATATATGGCTTATAGGATACATATATTGAATAGATAGAGTTAAAATATAGAAATGAATGTATTTCCAAAATAGAATACATAAAGACATATTTTTTTAAGTGTTATGCTTCAAAATTGTAGTGATTCTACAGTTGCGCTACTGGGTGTGTCAGGGTCTAAAGAGTGCTCATAAAACCCCTCGTCTGTGCTTTTCTGGTGATAAGTCTGCCAAATAGTGGCGAATGGAATGAGATGCTGTGTGCTTTGTCTGACAAAGGTGAGACACATAAAAGCACCGAGAAGGAGCAGCGTTTGCGGCGTCCCCACATCAGTGACTAGCACGCATCTCAGAGTATCCTCCAGGCTCACGTCCCAGCAGCAGGGGTATTCACCAGCTGGCTCTGGGAAATGAGTAAAAGTTGCAGCATTAAAATGCCTGCAAATGACTGGGAGTCAATTCGCCAGCAACATGGGTTACGCAGTGTGCTGAAAAGGAAATGAAGCAGCGGCTCGCCAGCCACAGGTGTGAACAGGGCAGTCGCTGTGATTGGCAAAGATGCTCGCATTGGGGAGAAAGACTAGTTTATGTGGCTTTTAGAACATTTATGTTCTTTGGGTTTGACCAAAGTCTCCTTAAGAGAGGAGGATATTACTGTTCCTTACTTGGAAAATGAAAGCAGCCAGTGGATTATTAACCCACTTTAAGCACTAATCCGGACAAATTTGAGTCAACACGAGATTTGGCCAAGTGTGAGGTTAAAAGACACCTTTTCAATCGCCTCCTTACAAATTGTTATTGAACTCCTAGCTCACTGATGTCGTCACACTAAGTCGTTGTCACACCAGTTTGAGTAAACGACCTCCCATTTGCTCATCTAAGGGTCTTTTAGCCCCGCTTTTCCTCTGCTGAGGATGTGGAGGAGGCAGAACTACTGTCTAACTCATATGGATTTACCCACTGTGCGCCTGTGCCTGAGGTGGGCACATCTAACATTCATTTTGTTTTATTGAAGGAGTCGTGCTTCTTAATTTACCCCACTATTCAGACACTCAGATCCTTGATACTCAAAGCTTGTTCCCCCAGATACTATCTCTGAAAAGTTCACGAAGTAAAGCACCCACAGTCATATACATTTTAGAAATGTATTCACAATCAATGTATTCATATACATTCTGCAAATAGAAAACTAAGGATCCCAGTGCTTTACAAGTCTTCAAAATTGCTAGGTACATTAAATCAAATATGGGTGTGCGTCTCCAAGTGGGCCAGGAGAGGTACTCATGTAAAAGAGATATCCAAATGTATCTCATGGAGAACCATTCCTCCTCAACACACAACATGACCACCTTTGGGAAACCGTTTGCTTCCAGAACTGTTAACTGACCCCAGAGCTGATGTCTTAAAACACAGGGTTGTGAGCCAATGCAGACATTTATGTTTTCTATGTTCTTTGGATCTGCCTCTCCACCCCCACCACCACTTAAATGGTTTCCTTCCTTCATTAAACATGATTTCCCAGGCTGCCTGAGATCTTATTTTCCCTGTATTATTCTGTGGCAGTAATTCAGGTCTCACAAAGAAGGGAAAAGAGAGAGAAAGAAAGGGCCATTTTCTATGAACAAAAGAAAACCTTAGCAGCTAATTATGCAAATCTTTCATTGCACATCCAATCATACTATTTCAACACCCAAACACTGCAAAATGGGGCACATCTAGCCTACAAAAGTCAGGAAAAGGAACAATGGAGTAATTAAAGCATGGAGCGGGGTGTGGGGGAGTTGTGAATCAAAGGTCAGATCTGCAGTTCCATTAAAACCTAAATAATCTTGGCCAAGCAAAGGAAGCCTCCCAACGCTTCAATGCGGCCGTTTGAAAGAAAATAGAGAAGCAGGATTAATATTACTGACATAAAGATGCTAAACCAGCCACATGCATTCAGCCTGCAAGCTTGGTGCCCCATTACGTGAGTTCAAAAGAGGGGTGTGAGCTCTCGCTGCTGCAGCAAAGACTGAAGAAAAAAATGCTCCAAAATGCAAAAACACTCCAAGACTTCATGAATCTTAGTGTTTGGAGTGGAAGTTAAGCAGTGGGGAGGGGAAGGTCATACAAAGAGGAGCAACCTATGACTTGAACGAGGGTACCTGCTATTCACCATCAAACACATGAAATAACACAGGCCGAGTTGCCAAAGGCTCCCCAAATCTCTTCATCCAAGATATCTTATTTAAAAGTTTATTCTAATAAGTCTAATAACCACCTAATGCCCGAGTCCTGTGCATATCACAGTCTCTCCCATTAGAACACCCAAGCTAGGTTCCCAGACCCAGGTGAATCAGATTGTTATATGCATATGAGAATGATCTAACATGAAAATTTGCATAAAATTTCTTAATATGGACATGTACATAAAGAGATGCTTCTAATGAGTTCAAAACCAGTTTAGGCCGTGTAAATCTATTGTACAAAATCTCATTTAGAATGGTGAATTTCTGATTTACTGGCCCTTGCTGTCATGAATGATAAAAGACTTATCAGTCACAGGACCCATCAGGGGTTTCTCTTAAATTTAAATGCAAAGACAACAAACAATGACAACTTAATATTTCTATATTTTATAGCTAGCATTTTTGTGCCCTAAATAGCCCTAAATAGGCTTTTTACTTTTCTTGTAAGAATGCACACGCATGCACACGTGCATACGCACACACACAAATTCTATCAACCCTTTAGAAACTTAAGTTGCTGGGTGGCAGTATCACAGATCTTTAGTCTTAGCACTTGGGAGGCAGAGGCAGGTGGATCTCTGAGTTCAAGGCCAGCCTGGTCTACAGAGAAAGTTCCAGGACAGCCAAGGTTAAACAACAGACAAAGGTCTGATCTCTAAAATATACAAAGAACTCAAGAAACTAGACACTAAAACTCTAATTAACCCAATTAAAAAATGGGGTACTGAACTGAACAGAGAATTCACAACAGATGAACTTCGAATGGCTAAAAAGCACTTAAGGTCATGCTCAACCTCCTTAGTGATCAGGGAAATGCAAATCAAAACAACTTTGAGATATCATCTTACACCTGTCAGAATAGCCAAACTCAAAAACACCAATGATAGCCTATGCTGGAGAGGATGTGGAATGAGGGGAACACTCATCCATTGTTGGTAGGAAAAAGAAAAAATTCTTAAGCTAATGGGGAAAATCACACACTAGAAAGAGTGGGCCCAAGATTACCTGGGACAGTTTGATTTTCGTAGTCTGTCTTTATACACTATTATTGGAGCATATGTCTTAGAAGTTTAGATTCAGAGCAAATGTTACCTTAATTACAGGTTTCTTAAAAATTGTTAATAGTGTCATCAAGAATTTCCAAATTAGAGTAAGAATTACAAAACTAATCTGTTTGCTTTGATTCAGAAATACTAGAGGAATTTGGCAGAGTAGCTGGGTCATCAGAATTTTTGATGTGTTAACTAAGAGTTTTACGCTTCTATCACCACAAATAAAATTTTATTACTAATTATCATGACATTCACTTTCTAACTCTTAAATTAGCTTCATAAGGAAAAACATTCAATTTGGGAAACCATTTGAGGAAGATCTCGCTTTCTTCTTAGAAAAGAAGGCATACTGCCTGTCGGAGAACTGTCATCCGGGTTCCTTTTCATCTGAGGCTCCCCTTTATCCTGCGGGTCTCCGAGATACAGAACTCCTCTGTCTTGGCTTCCTGATATTAATTTCTTCTCAGCATGTGACAAATGCCAAGCCAGCAATTCAGGCTGCACCATTGGGAGAAGCCCTCTCTGCTAGTAGCGGTGTCCATGTGCACTGAGCAGAGTGTAATCTAGTCGACCTCCCAGATGCTCTGAGCAGAGAGGAACACACTGCCCCTACCCCAATACCATCATCATGGTCGCTCTATCCCTCAGGCAGCGGCGGGCACCTGCCCTGGGCTGCTTTCGCCCGATTGAAGTCTGCTTCCGTCAGACAGAGGGAATACTGATGCTCAGTCCTGATTGAGCACGTCTGGAGCTGTTCTTCCGGAACAGAAGCAGCACCAAAGATCTCACTTGGTGGGGAAAATGCCATGCTTCTCAGTTCCCATCCGACAGAACTGAAAAGCCTAATTTGCATGCTGAAAAACTCAATACTGTTTTGCTTTAAAAATGATCTCTTTTGAAATCTCATTTACCCTTAATGAATGACTCTTTCACCTGCAGACTTTTCAAAGGACACTTCTGTTTCCTGCTCTCTACAAGGAGAAAATGAATGTCTTATCACATTCCTAATAACCACAGACAATGAGGGAAAAGCCGTCATTCACAGCATCAATGAAAAAGGTAGGTAGCTTGGGCTCCATTGTCATTGTCAAGCGATACCACCTTTAGAGGCATCCAAAAAGTCACTTCAGGTAGCTTGCCAGGAAAAGACATTTCAAAGTTTGGGGTGAAGTGCTTCTCCCAAGGTTGAAAGACCTTTCATGAAAACCTTTGTTGTGTTCCTGCGTCTTTTATGAAGATGAGGTCATGTGATGACTTTCATTGTTCCAAGCATCACCTCCTGGACAGCTAGCTGCTGGCCCCGAGGAAAGCTGGACCGAGAAAACAAAAGACAAACAGGTTTGCCTTTCTGAAAAAACTAGCAGAAGGAGTAATAGATTCTAAAACCAAGTTTAAGTGGTGGTTCAAAAACTGTTTCATTTTATAATCACCACTTGAGACTGTGGGATCTTCTTGCCTCTCCAAGCCTCTATTTCCTCATCTGTAAAATGGAAAAAATAGTGGCACAATCCTTTAAGCGATGACTCAAGGAATAAATTGAACAATGAATGTAATATATGTGCCAAAAGAGGCTTCACTGCTATGGTCCATCAACAGAGACTGTTGGATCAGGAAAGACACAGGCAGCAAGTCAGGGTGTGGTTATAGATGTCAAAGTGTCAGGACAGCCGGCATACACCTCTAATGCCAGGATTCGGGAGAACGAGGCAGGAGGTTTGCTTAGAGTTTGAGGCAGCTTCGCCTGAATGCTGCCGGACCAGGGCTGCCAAGAGCAATTGTTTCTTTTCTTCTGTAGATTTTTCAATCATTGTCAACACGTGGAATCAGTTTCCAATGCTCCCCTAGAAATTCCATCTCCAGCTAAGGGAGAAGACGAGTTTATATACACCGTAGAAAGGGAAGCAGTGGAGAGCATATCTTTAAGAAGCTTTCAAACTGTGCGGGTATCAGACTCCCCTGTTTACCTAAAAGGCTGTTATCCTGAGTCAGCAGACCTGTGTGTGCTGGGTCTGCATTCCAACAATCCAACTTAGCACAGATGGTCCAGGCCCTTTTGGAGCCACTGGATTAACAAAACCTAGCGGTGTTCTTAAACACACACAGGTGACTCACATTTTCTGTCTTCAGCAATGATCTACCCCTCCCTACAATGTCCCAGAGAAATGACAGCTGTGTTAAGTGACTTCCTCAGGCTGGGGTTTGGAGCCGAAGGCCCGGCCCAGACAACAGCAGCACACACAGGGTGTAAAGCGGATGGGGTTTGTTGTGTGGACTTGCTTTTCAATGCACTGAGAGAATGTTAGGTCCTGATCTTGAAATCAAAGCTATCAAATTGATTATCACACCAGAGGTTGAAAAGAAATCAAATACCTGCAAAGTGGGTTTAAACCTCATGTTCCAATCAAGAAAATGGTCAGAGGAATGTTACATTATCGTGCCAACGGGTCTGGAGGTCAGGCACAGTCCGTGAAATGTGGGGATGACCGTAGACATGGTGCTGACGCTTGGGAGGGCAGGATGCTCCTGGCACGTTTCTGAGAAATGTAAACACAAAGTGCATTTTGTAGTCAGTTAAGGAAGCAGGACGAATCACACTGTGCAATACCAGGTTATTTCATAAAACTAAAAAGCCTGCCTCCTCATTATGAGCTTTATATGGTACAATTACAAACCCCCATCGCTGTGATTGTAATTGTGGTAGTGATTTTAGCATGTTAACCTGAAACCAAAACCACCCCTTAAAGTATTAATTCTGTTGGGAAATCACATCCCAGAAAAACAACGTGACTTCCTGCGGAAGGTCTTTGCTTTCCTGCGTGAGTTTCTGTAAAACAAGTAATAGAAACCCAGAGACAGATATTGGGGTTCAGTCTGAAAACCAGAAAAGCAAAGCAGTCAAGTCATTAGAGAGGTCTTACCTCTACCAAGGCTGGGAGACTGCAAACTCGGCAGATCAGAGCCTCTCTCCTCCCATTTTATATTCCCTCTAGTGCTGAGACTAAAGGCAAGTGACTCCCTAGTACTGGGATTAAACATGTGAGCCACCTCCTCCTGGATTTGTTTCTGCATTGATTTTGTGTAGCCCAGGATGGCCTTGAGCTCACAGACATCATCTGCTCTGTCTCCCAAATCCTGGGGTTAAAAAGAATGGAGTTTCTTGAACTCTTAAGAGAGAGAGCAGGCTGTCCCTGAACGGCAAGGACACTTTCAGCAGTGGAGATTTTAGACTGCACAGAGATGAACTGAAGAAAAGCGGGTTCCAGCCAGGCTGCTGAGGCCCGAACAAGTACCCAGAATCACAGTCATGGGCAAGACACCCATCCCAATCCCCAGGGTCCGCTAGCGAAGAACTCCTCCAGAAAGGCGGTCTTCAGAACGCTTCCGGGGAAGATATTGAAGTTGCAGCAGGTCCTAATGGACCATTTCTTACAATTGACCAGCCAGCAGGTGCAGAGCCTCTCACCAGAAGACCAGTAAAGCACACAAGCCTCTCCGATGTGGGAAAAGAGGCTATCTACTGTCCCAGGCGGTCAACCTCATATGGTCTGAGGCCGCAAAAGAAACTGAAGCTTAAAGAACCTCTCCCTCCCTCGGACTCTAGATGTGACATCGACCAAGCCGGTTTCCAGGCTGGGTGGTTTTGGAAGCTGTCTCTGTCAGCCATGTCCTGTCCAAACGTGGTACTGGCATCTACGGTCTTTACCGCGCCAACTTCCAGAGCTATGAGGCCTATCAGAGAGACAAATTCCACAAAGATAAAAACCCCCTGGGCTACACCACCTTGGTACCAGTGAGAACAAGCTTTGCTTTGACCCGATAAAAGAAAGGCTGTGTCGGTGTGGCCTGCACCTCAGGGACGCGGGCCTGCACCTCAGGGACGCGGGCCTGCACCTCAGGGACGCGGGCCTGCTGCAGTAACTCCGACCGGCAAGGACAGCCCTTCCTTCAGAAATCGCTCATTATCTTCTCGACCCACTACTGCAGGGCACCTACACCTCTTGCTTCAGAAAATGTGGTGGTTCTCGATGGCCCCTGCTCGGGTTTATGTATCTTTGCTGGCCATGGTTCTGTGTGACGCGGGTGTTGCCTGTCTGATAGCTACACAGTGCTACAGGTTTCTGGGCTTGACTGGCTTGATTTTCTTTTTGGTTTTCTTTCGCTCCCCCTCCTCCACCCGTGGAACGTGTCTTCAGCTGATAAAGGCCGTCTCGTTACTGAACTCTTGTTCATTCTTTTATTCTTGTACACAGTGTGAGAAGCGCACCAACATGCCATCCATCAGAGGATGCACAGATGTCTGGTGCCTTTCTATTGTAGTGTCTTATTTTTCCCCTAGTCTTTTGTAGTAAGCGGAAGAGAAGGAAAAACAATCTCCCTGAGATTTCACAAGATCTCCTCCTGACAGGCCCAAGGATACCTCAAATGCCCCATTCCTGGGCAGGCCTGGTGCTTCCAGAAGCCCCAAGGCTGTAGTCTGCCCCCAGGTGTCAGGAGTTAGGGAGGAGTCCCTTCCTCCCTAAGCCGAGACCTTTGGCTCTGAAGTTAGAAACTAAGATGAGAAAGAAGGTCAAATGAAAAGCAAGGAAAAGCAGAAAGAGGTTAATGTTTCCCAGTGTCCTCTGAGCAAGCTGAAAGGGAGCTGGTCCAGCACGCTTGCTGTTGCGGAGGATGCAGGCACAGCATTGCATGACTCATCTTCCTTCTGTATCTGGATAGAGCAGTGGTCCTCAACTTCCTTAAGGCTGAAACCCTTTAACACAGTTCCTCATGTTGTAGTGACCCCCACCCCAACCCTAAATTTATTTTGTTGCTAAAGAGGTTGTAACCCACAGATTGAGAACCACTGGGACAGCATGTCAGAGCCTACAAGTCGTATGAGATGTAAGAAAAAAAAAATGACAGCCAAGCCTTCTTTGCTGGAAGAAGCCAGTCATTGCAGGTGGTACATCTGCAAATTGGGCTTGGACAATCCAGGCCTTTGCCTTCTGGGAGACAGAAAAGGGAGAGGAATACACATGTTGTCACTGTCCCTGTGTTTCTGGGGCCCTTACTAGCCCCTGTGTCACTCATGTTTCTTATGTGCTGATTCACTATCTTCAACAGCCTTATAAGGCGGGTCCTAGTGTTATTTTTGACCTACAAGCGAAGAAACTGAGGCATGGAAACAAGTGTACTGCTAGGTCTCGCGATAATTACTCCCAGAACTCCTTGCCTGAGGAACTCTGACAGCCTGGCTTAGAGCCCAGGCTCTTAACCACTGTGCTACACTGCCTCCCACTGGCTGCATAACTGTAATAAACACCTGACTCTAAACGATTCTGTTATCATTGTCCAATAGGACAGTCAGGCAAGCTCTGGATGAAATGCAATGTTTTCTAGAAGCCTCATTAAAAAGTTAAAAAAAAATAAGTGAAGTTAGTTTTCTTTACCGTTGTGTGGAAAATATTCTCATTTCAACATGGAAATCAACATAAAAATCATTACATGTTTTTTACATGTAATGATTTTTACATGATTTTACATGTTTCACGCTTAGACTGTGAGATAACCGTTTAATATTTATAATACAACCTGCTTCGGAAGTCACATTGCCAGTGCCCGATAGCCACGTATGGTTCAGCTACCAGCTTAGAATTAGGTGGTCAAGACCTCAGTGTTAGGTACAGCTGTGACCCAACTTGACAGGCGGTATTACACACAGGAGTGGAGCTAGCCCTCTCCTCTGGCCTAGTTAGCTCTCTCCAGTCTAAGCCCAGAGGAATATCACAGAGAACATGGGAGGTAGGGGCCTGTGCTGTGAAAGCCTGCCTTGGAACATGGGTGAAAATCTCTTCTTGAGACATTCCCAGTAGCCTAGGATGTTAAGTTCTTAAAATGATTCTCTCTCCCAAGCCACGCCTTCTCCTCATTGACTCCCTACTTGAACATCCTCTTGATTCTTTCTAGAAAACTGTGCCCTGCTGTGAACAGGAGCTATATGAACATTTCTCAGCCAAAGATATAGCTGGGTCCATTATTTTCCTAGAGACAGGGCCATGCTTCATTTGCTTGCTACAATACCTCCATCAGCCCTTGATACTACAGGAAGCAGGCCATTCTATTCTGCTTGTTTCTTTGCAATGTACTTCCATGGTTTTCCACCCAGAAAAAGTGTATGAGATTAGGCATCATACTGCTAGGAGGTCATTCAGATTTGGGTCTGAAAAGTCACGTGATTAGTCCTTGGTGTTCAACTCTCCATTATTAACTATCTAAGAGTGACATTTTGGAGGCTTGACTAAGCGGGGTTCACATACTGTTCCCTACATACTGTCGGGTGTGGCCTCTCTTCCTGTGAGGGGATGCAGATATTTAATGATCATGTGATATGGACTTTCTTCCCAGGAAAGCTGAAGAAGGGCTTAATTATAATGCTCCATTAGGAGATTTATCATCTTGCTGGCACATTGCAAGGGTCATCAGTCATCCTACTGGCAATGGAGGAAGGTGCAATATAACTGCAAAACTACATTAATACCATCCATTGAGCCAAAATAAAATTTTGTAAAATCTTCAAGTTGAGAATATCTGATTCCCTACACTTCCCTGCTCATAAGGCTGACTTAGATACGATTAATAATACCTGTGGTATTACCCAAGACCCACTGAAACAATATCTTGAGGAGGGGTCTAGGAGGCTGTGGTTTTGATAAGCAAGACTACCTCAGCATGTTGCTGTCATCAGGGTGATCGAGGGAGCGCTGTGCTTTATTTCACAGATGAGGTCAAGGGACTCAAGGATTGAATCCACACAGCCACTGTACAGCAGATGAGACTTGAAGCTACCCTCTTCTAGTCGAGGAAATCAGAGCATTGCACAAAACAGCTCTGATTATCTTCTGTCTTTACAGGGGGAAGGGGCAAGGATCCTACAGTAAAGGGGAATCTTCTCAGTTCTGGAGGTGGAGCCTTAAACTTTGCACATGCTAAGCCGTGTTCCACGCTCCCAGTCCTCGGTTTGTGAGACACGGTCTCACTGTGGAGCTCACGTTGGCCTTCTACATGTTCTGTATCTGCCTGCTGCGTTCTGGGATTGCGGGCACGAGCAACTGGGTGGGACTAATAATTCTTAATATAATCCTGAGACTGTTCATGATTCAATGAACTCCTTGACAAGACTGTCGCTCTGCTGGATAAAAGTTCTAAAGTCAACCGTTCAATCTAGTCACCTCTCCGTATCTGTAGGAGATTGGGTCCGGAGCCTCCTGTGACAAAGATACTAAAACCTGTGACTACTGAAGGCCTTTCTATTGGCATAGAATTTACGTCTTCCCACATATCTGAAATCATTTCTAGGTTGCTTGCAAAATGTGATGCAGGGTCTGAGATGTAACTAAGCTGGTAGAGTGTTTCCCTGGCACAGATGAAGCTGTGGGTTCAATCCCCAGCACTGTATAAAACTAGGCATAGTATGGCACACCTGTGGTCCCAGTACTGGGGAGGGAAAGGCAGGAGGTTCAGGTGTTCAAAGTCATCCTTGGCTGTAGAGTTTGAGACTAGCCTGGGAAGTAAGAGATGTTAAAAAAAGGAAGGAAGACGGGAGGGAGAGGAAGAAAAAAGGAAGAAAAGAAAGAAGGAAGGAGGGAGGGAGAGAGGGAGAGAGGGAGAGAGGGAGGGAGGGAAAGAAGGAAGAAGGAAAAGGAGAGAGGCAGGAAAGGAAGAAAGAAGGAAGGAAAAAAAGAAAGAAGATTGAAAGCCAATACAATGTGTCTGCTATTGAATATACATTGCACTTACCATTTAGAGAGCAACAACAAGGGGAAAGACAGGGTGTGTCCAATAAAGACATATTTTCAATCCATAGTTTGCTGAATCTGTGCATGCAAAACCAAGGATATGGAAGGCTGGTTATAAATTCATTTTTTAATTGTTTTGAAACTTTTATTCCACTGAGACTAAATACAAACCTCTCTTTAAAACAAGTAGCTCAGTTTTAGGGAAAAAAAAAAAAGGAAGTCAACAGAACAAGAAGATATCAGTATTTTCCCTCTCTTGTAGAAAATACACGATGTGAAAACCCAGTGAGAAAGGTCTTTCCATCCCGTGAGATGGGGGTGTAGCTTAGAGAGAGGAGAATTGTACAATATGTTCAGAGCTCTGGATTTGGTCTCTGCATTGAAATGAGGGATGAGGTAAACCTTCTTACGGCAAAACACTAATTGCCGCAGCTTCTAAAGATGATTCCATCTGCTCCCACAGACTGCCCCAAGCCTCCAAACATCCCCATGATCATGTTGGGAGTGTCGCTGGCTATCCTGCTCATCGGAGTCGTCCTACTGTGCATTTGGAAGTTGCTGGTATCATTGCACGATCGGAAGGAAGTCGCTAAGTTCGAAGCAGAACGATCAAAGGCCAAGTGGCAAACGGTATGTGAACTCGGGAGACCTGAAAATGATGGGGGGGGGGACTCGGCCATGCCCTGTAGAAGAGAAGAGGTCAGTTGTCCATGACCACCCTCTGTGTAGCCCCAACAACGTTCACTTCTCTCGTGCTTAGCGAGCAGAAGAGCCCATTGTCTGGTCCAGGTTGTCCTCATGACACCCAATATCTCAGGGTGGTGGGCTTGTAACACCTGGGGAGGCTCATGAAATCTCCTGCTATGGCGGTTTAGGGCTGTTGTGGAGGCAACCTCATTAAATAAAGCCTAGGTTCTAAAGTTAAACTTTTCTGCAAATTGATTATATGCCAGCTAATGGGATAATGTTAGTGGAGACTATGACAGTTCATGCCAACTTCCATGGCAATATTTGTTGCTGATATCATGGGCGACAAAGCAACATTGAGAAGCCTTTTTAAACACCAGGCAATTTTACCCAGATAACATAAAATTTAAGTAGCTACATGAAATAAACTTCTAAACATATGTATTCAATGGTATAATTTAAATGTCTTCTCAGTAGGCAAACAGAAAACAGGACTATGATTTTCAGTGTTGCTTTTTCACGGGAAGAGATAATTACATTTCGAGAGACCCCTGGAAACAATTTCATGGTTTTAATTTCGTCTCTCAATCTCTAATGGTGTGTCTAGCTATCTAAGAGCAATTATCTTACATCACTGATTCCAAAAACAGTGAACACGCTGGAGAAAACACAAGCAAACACAATGTGCCTTTGGGTTCATCTGCCTAAATAAATTGATGGTAACACTATTTTCCCTATATTGCTCTCCTCGGTTCTGAAAGAAAATAGAATTTTCCATTTTTGATAATAAACATTTATATTGGACGGGGTAATTTCAAACTAATCATAATGTACATCTCAGGAAAAAAACTAATAAAAATTTAATCTACCTTATCTTTCGAGTCAAAATGCTTTGGTTATAATGAACACATGTGATCTATGGACCCAGTTTGAGTCCTGACTTGGAAGGGTCCGGATGTAAGATTATATTTTTAAGACAGATACACTCTGGATACTAGAAGGGTAGCAAGGACCGTATGTTTGATTTGATCAGATTTCACAAAGGCCTGGTGACTTACTGAGTGCACAGTCTGTGGTTTTTAGCGAGGAAACTGGTGTGTAGGAGTGAGGAGAAATGAGGAAAGGTGTTGTACTTAAAAGAATTCAGCCAAAAGTTCAGGTCTCCCCAAAGTCTTGGTACAGGTAGAGTTGAGCCCCAATCATTAATTTGTTCTAAGAACAGCCTTGGGTTGAAGCGTCTGGGGATAATGAGGTCGGTATTCTGATTCGGCAAGCAAGCCCTTGGCTATTTGGTGATGCGTGTCTACTAACCAGCATATTTTAATGCTCTCAGACACGGGCGTGAGTGATGACAAATGATTAATATCTTTAGAATAACGTTTTAATTAACAGTTAATTTCCTCCAAAACATGAATTGTTCTCCCTCAGGAAGCTAAACATGACTGAAATTCAAATGCCTAAATTTAGCTGTTTCTTCATCTAAAATGGGACAAAACCACACATTAGACAGATAAAAACATAAATGGAAAATATTATTTCCCTGTTAAATTGAGTTCCTTTGAATAACAAATGTTCGATGTTCCTGACTAGGTGGTGACCAGGTAATAATTGTTCATTTACATGCAAAAGAGGCTCAATTCGATATTCAGCCCTAATTTCACGAACACATCCTCCTCCTGGGACAAATGTATGCTTGGCGCGTACACTTAAAGGTCTTCAGTTTAATTCAGTTTTTAATCTAAAACCTATTTCTTCTCAAGGGGTGAACCTAACTAATCCTTAAAAAGCAGGACAGAAAAAAACCAGTGCAGTCACCTGACCCATTGATCTCCACAGACTCTTAAGGGGACAGAGTTGAAGACACATCTTGGTTCTTGCCCCCTGAAACATTTTGTCAGGACTATAAAGAAAGGTTATCCTTTACTACATTTAAAAAAAAAAACCTCAGCATTTTTCTTCTGAAAATACAAATGGAAGACATTTAAATTTATCTTTGATTAGACAGTATTTCCCCTGGATAACAGGAGGTCTTGTGACAGAAAAAAAAAAAGTTTCTCCTGCCATTTCTTGCAACCATGGATTGACTCTGTTCTGTCCTGAGCAAATTGGGTCTGCAGGTCACAGTTAGGCAGTCACTGAGGAAACTGCGAGTCATGATGGAGCCTTCTTGTTACCGCTTTTGCTTAAGCCTCAGAAATGTGCCACCGGCTGTGCAGAATCCAAGCTTAGGCCAGGGCCTCCATGTTCTGAAGAAACTCGGCCTGGACACCTTACACACTTAGAGAGAACCAACCTTGTCTAAACATGGACACTCCCCCACCATAGAGCAGGCCTTAGGCCTAAGTCATGGACATCCCACAAAGGGAGGTCTCTAATGAATATGGCACTGGCCATTTCCATATCTGCTGACAAAACCCAACCCTAGCATGCTCTCCTGAGCTCTGATCACCGCCTGAGGTCGGTACACACCTCCTTCCCCACCTCAGCAGTACTGTGAACCTTTTCTTCTCTGGCTTCCGTATCTCTCTTACCTTCCTACTAGGGTGGAATCTTAGTCCATTGACCCTACACAAGGGACCCCCGAACTCTCCCAGACTTAAGTAAATGAAGTACTTTAAAAAGAAACAAAAACTTCACAAAAGTGTATAGTTAACTATCTACAAAATGACATTACGTCATCCCCTCTAGAGGACTTTAAAACCTATTTTGTGGGGTTACGGAGAGCCTCAGTAGGTAAAGCTTGCAAGAAAGAAGACCTGAGTTCAGATCCCCAACACCCTTGTAAAAGCCAGGCCCAGCAACTCAAATCTGCAACCCTAGTGCTGGAGGACTTGGAAACGGCCTAGGGCTCACTGGCCAGTCAGTCTAGCCAAAATGGTGAGCTCCACAGCACTGAGAGACTGTCTCAAAGCAGGGCGGGGCAGGGGGTGGAAGAAGACACCCAGCATTGACCTCTTGCCGCCTATACACATGCTACACATAAACAAACATACCTGCATACACATGTATAACGCATGCACATGCACACATTGCAATTCTACTTCCTGCGGGGAAGTAGGTACATTTTAATATGATTGACAGCTATGGGGCGGGGCCTACAAACAAGTACCTGGTCCTCCAAAGATCTAAGCTGGCCCAGATCACAGCCAATTTATTTTTCCTATTCCCTAACCTCCCCATCTCTCTTCCGTCCGGGCTTCAGCCTGCATCCCCACCCGCAGCTCATGTTATCCAACCAAGGTTGAATATTCAACCAAAGGCAAATCTCTTCAATTGACTACTTTGTCAACTAATTTCTAGTCCTTAAACTTCACAAAACGTCTTCTGAATTTTATTGCAAAAAAGACTCTACACCTACCTGAGACCACATAAGTTTCTCTGAGTCTTTAAAAGCTCTTAATTCTTGTGGCAGCTGGATTAACTAGCCAGGCTGACTTTAGGAGTAGAGACAGTATAGCAACCCGGCTTTTACCCGCCATGGACTCTAGCCACGGAACTACCTCTACTTGCCCTCAATACAGAGATGGCATCTGACTCTCTGAAGTCATATGACCAAAGGCAACATGGCACTTGCTCAAAGGTTGGGACACTGGCTCTCAGTAGGACAGAAGCAGCTTCCGGGATGGTTCCCGCTCAGAGGAGGCACGGCCGGCCGTGACAAGGCAGGTAAATTCAGGAGATGTGTCTGTTTCCCTACGCAAAATACGATTTTGCTTTGTCAAGTTGTAGATAAAATTCCTTCCCCCAGGGAGTTGTAAGTTAAACAACTTCCTCCTAAATCCCCATGATAAACCAGGCACAGTTTCATTGATATTTATTCTGGAGGACCACTGAGTGTATTGGGCTTCTTCACAGAGTATAGGAGGGGGTGACTCTAAGTGTGTTGGTGTTCCTCACACAAACAGCCCTGGAGATTGCTAGCCTGCCAGTCTAGCCAAATTGGTGAGCTCCAGGCTAAGCAAGAGACTCTGTTTCAAAACATAAGGCAGAGGGCCAGGAAGAATGGCTCTGAGGGTAATGGAGCTTGTGACCAAGCCTGCTGAACTCGGTTTGATTCTCAGGACCTATATGATGGAAGGTGAGAAATGGCTTCCAGGCACCCTCTGACCTCCACAGGTACCCTCTGACCTCCACAGGCATACTGGCACATGAATGCCCCTCTTCTAAGTAATGAAGTACAATAAAATTAAAAATAATAATTTTAGAAATATACATACATATGTGCCACACCAAAAAATGAAATGAAGATGAATAAAAGTAAAATTTATCAAAAATTATTTAAATATCTTCCAAGATAGAGCTTGATGCTTCAATTTGAACTCTAATGCAAGCATTTGAAGATATTAAAGTGGTATAATAACAAAATGTATTTTCTTCTTTTTTTTTTTAACCCCTTTTCCCCCCTGTCCTTTAGGGAACCAATCCGCTGTACAGAGGCTCCACCAGTACATTTAAGAATGTGACCTACAAACACAGGGAAAAGCACAAGGCCGGCTTTTCCATAGATGGGTAAACAGACCTACTTCAGCCAGGGAAAGTCAACTTCACTGATGTTAAAGGTTAATGCACTGTTTGATTTGCCTTTCTTTGTTGCTTCCAAAGCAGGTTGACTTAAGATAATACTAGGTCATTTGGAGATCAGTCATTCTCAGATGGAGGTGAGACACTGTTGGCAGGTTCAAAATAATCAGGAGAAGAATATCCTAAGAGAAGAGGTGAATTCAAGATCGCTTGATGAATATGAACCCTGTTGCATTGATGCCTCAAAAAAATCATCACAATGGTTCATGGGGACTTGATTTGCATTTGAAAAGTGTTCAGAATTTTAATCTCATTTGCTTCCTGAATCCAGTTACCTACAACCTTTGTCTCCGCAAGGTCACCATGTCCTTATGGCTCTATTCTGTACCCACACTGGCTGCTTTTTCTAAACATGCAGAAAAATCTCCCATTTCCTGGAGGATTTTTTTGTTGGATTGGTTGGTTTGGGGATTGGGTTTTTTGAGACAGGGTCTCTATACGAAGTCCTGGCAGTTCTGGAATTGACCAGGCTGACCTTGAACTCACTCAGGCTGACCTTGAACTCACTAAGATCTGCCTCCTGCGTGCTGGGATTGAAGGTGTGCCACATCATGCTAGGCGATCTTTTTTTTTTTAATATGAGAAATGAGATTCTGGTTTCTCATCCACAGAAAGAATACAGTTCTTCCAGTAATATCCCAAGTGAAAGATTGAAAATTAAATGTTAGTAATTGCCTTAGATTTATACGCTTACAAGTTATTTACACAAACAAGTGTTTTGTTGCACAGATGAGGAAGGAGTAATTTATAAATTATGTTGCTAGTAAGACTGAAGATATGGGTCTAACATGCTCAGCTTTCCTCTTGTCCCCAAGTTCCCCCCACATCCCCCCATATTTCTTAATTATTTTACCCAGTTTCACAGTCTTCAAAACTCCACCCTTGTCATATGAAAGTGTCCATTTAAAAATAACTCTAAGCGGTTAGTGTATCAAAAAAAGTTTCAAGACTATAAAAGGAACCTTGGGTAATAGAATAAAAGGTCACATGGCTTTACATCCAGCGTGTCCCTCATGGAGTCTAGGCTTCCCTTAGGACATTGCCATCCCGTCCACACCACCCAGCATTCACAGCCCAGCTTCACGGGCCGGATGTGTCACCCACGGGCTCTAAAAAATAAAAACCACTTACAAAATCTACACCGGCTGTCAGCAATCCGGTAGCAGACTAAAGAGGAAGCCTCTGGAGACTTTCATTTCTTCTGGTTACTGTTGCATTGCAAAGCACTTTGCTCTGGCTGGATCTCCACAGAGACGCTGAGAGCATAGGCGGAAGAGTTGGGGACAGACTCTCCACCTTCCAACTCCAAGCCTTTGCTCTCCCCATTGCCTGAGACTCTTTCGTCAGTAAAATGAAAGAAGGCTTGTGTTAGTTGTGGCATAACTACCTTAGTTTGAGAGTGTACTAACACGAAACAAATAGCACTTAGGTCCCTGGAATGCGGACCACTTGCCGTGTTTTTGCGCCATGTGGACAGTCATGTGACTAGATAGTCACGTGAAGGCATTTGCTGGATGAGCAGCTTCTTAGGAGTGGCGGCTTCATGGTCCTCCACTGGATTGTCAACTTAGTCCCAAAGTTCCTTCACTCCTCCCAAATATGTCTGTGAATGTTTTGATTATCTGGAGTCTTTCTTTTACGGATTTTTAAATAACTCAGGTAAATCAGTCAGTTAGGGAGTACACAACTAAACCTTAAAGAAAAAGCTGAATGAATCTCCTTGGATCCCTGAACGATCCAATAATATGGATTATATTATACTCCCAATAATAAAGCAGTACTGCCACCATTACACGGGGCTGTTTGTGCTAGTTTTGCATTACTGCTGAAATGAGATTTTAGAACATAGAGGTTTCTTTCATGTGTGTATTAGGAAGAATTTGTTCTTTCCCTAAATACCGTTTTGACCCGAGGCAGGACCTTGAAAAGGCCAAAACATTGACAGTAGTGCTTCTGTTCACTGAAGAGTTATGTTACATGAAGATGAGATGGTTGTTTTTTAAGTGGTTTTATTGTATTTTGCATTGACATAAATAAACATAATTTAAACAGTGAACCTTGGTTGGATGATAACGCCTTTTATTTACTTGATATGAAACCCTCTTCTTAACATTTCTGGATCTTTCTGTGACTTACTCTGACATACATTGCTGATTTCAGTCAAGGGCCATGGAGAAGAACAGAATATTATCCCACATTGGGAAAAATCAAGTTCTTAAGGATTGGTGTTATGGGCTCAAATATTTCCCTTGAGTACTGTCCCAAGGAACCATGTTAGCTCCTAGAATCTTAGTGTGTGACCATACAAGTACAGATCTAGTCGTTAAAGAGGCAACTAAGTTTTAGTGGGGTTATAGTGTGGGGCCCTAATCTGACATGACTGATGTCCCTTAAAAGAGGGGAGAGGACAGAGATGCACACAGAAGCACTGTGACACAGGAGAGGACTGTCACCCATAAACCACGGAGGCTTGATGTTTACTCAGGGTGCTTTGAATGTACCTAGAAATGATACATATGAATCAAAGAGCAGCTCCATCTTTAAGTTTTTGAGGAATACCCATATTGATTTCTATTTTGCTCTACAAATGTACATTTCCACCAACGTTTGCTCCCTTTCTCCCAAATCCACACCAGCATTTGCTGTTATTTTTGTTTACAATAACCATTGATGACTATGGTAAGATAAAATCTTGCTGTAGCTTTAATTTGCATCTCCCTGGTACCTAAAGATATTGAAATGTTTTTAATATATTTATTAGTAATTTATGTTTTTAGAAGTATCTGTTCATCTCATTAGATTATTTATTGGTTTAGTTGATTAGGGTGATGGTGGCGGTGGAGATGGTAGTGTATTAGTGTGCATGCATGTATGCGTGTGTGTGTGTGTGTGTGTGTGTGTGTGTGTGTGTGAGTGATCAGAGGTCTACACTGGGTACTCTCTTCAGCCAGTCTCCCTCCATCTTACTTTTTGAGACAGAGTCCCTGGCTAAACCTGGAGTTTGTCAGTTTGGCTGGACTGGTTGGCCACATAGCTCCTGAGAGTCTTCTGCCACATTCTTCCCTTGCCCCCACCCAGCACTGAGGTTGCAGATGCACCGCCATGTCTGACTGTTACATAGGTGCCGGGAGTCTGAGCTCAGGTCCAGATGCTTACACACTGACACAACTGAGCCATTTTCCCAGCCCTTTGTTGAGTTCTTTTCCTTTTATTTTTGGGTTCTTACATATTCTGGATATTAATTTTGTGTCAGTTGTACAACTATCCAAGATTTTCTCCTATTCTGTGGGATGTCTCGTTACTTGATAAATTATTTCCTTTTCTGTGAAGGAGTCTTTTTTAAATTTCTTGTAGTCTCATTTATCAATTCTTGATGTTATTTCTTGCCCATGACTAGATCTTCAGGTGTTCGGCTGTTTTCCTCTAACCCTGTCAGACTTTCTGCTGAGACTGGCATCTTGGATACATTCTGAGTTGATTTTTGAACAGAATGAGAGGTAGATTATGACTTATGCTCGTATTTCTTATACATGTGGATCTCAAGTTTTCCCATGACCATTTGTGGAAGACTGTCTTTCCCCCAGCATGTGAGTTTTGTTGCTGTTGTTGTTTGGTTTTGGATTTTTTTTTTTTTTGGCATCTTTGTCAAAAATCAGGTGATTGTATCAGTAGGGGTTAATTCGTGTCCTCTGTTCTGTGTCTTTGATCTTCATGTCAGAAAGTGCCAGAAAGCCCTAGTTTGTTACTGTGACTCGGTAGTGTAACTTGAAGTTGTGTGGCAATAGCCCCAGAATGTTCTTTTCACTCAGGATTGCTTGTTGTCCCATAGTCTCTTGTGCTTCCGTGTGAATTCTGAAATTGTTTCTACTGTGTCTGTGGACTGTCATTAGAGTGGACTTAGGAAGATACCTATTTTCCTTACATTGACTCTACCAGTCCGTAAGTGTGAAAAGTCCATCTTCTAGGTTCTCTTCAATCTCTTTCCTCCACGTTTTAAATTCTGTTAGAAGTACTTCGCTTTCTTGGCTAAGTTTATCACAAGGTTTTTGAAGTCATTATAAAAGAAATTGTTTTTCTGATTTCCTTTGGTAAATAGACACACCAAGTTTATGAATACATGACTACAGAGAATTAAGCTGAAGACAAGATGCTCACAAAATGAGTCAGCTTAATATTGCTCTCTCTCTCTCTCTCTCTCTCTCTCTCTCTCTCTCTCTTCATTTCTTACAAAAGTACACACAAGGGCTAAGTGATAGTGGCACAGACCTTTAATCCCAGCACTCGGGAAGCAGAGGCAGGCGAATCTCTGTGAATTTGGTGCCAGCCTGGTCTACAAGAGCTAGTTCCAGGACAGGCTCCAAGTCTACAGAGAAACCTTGTCTCAAAAAAACAACAACAAAAAAGAGTATATACAAAAGTCATTTATTCTTTCCCCTTTCTCCTTTCAAAGTCTCCCATGTATCTCACTTTATTCTTTTTTGAATTCATGGCCTCATTTTTCTCTATGATGTTACACATGTATGCAGATATGCATACACACACACACATATATATATATGTGTGTATGTATATATATATATATATATCTAAATACAATCTGCTCTGTATATATAATGATGCTTACACGCATATATTTCCAGGGCTGACCATTTGGTATGGGATATTAAAGGGATATGTTCTTCCCTGAGGAAGGCTATTCCTCCCACTCCAGAATTCCTTAGCTGCCTGCAGTTCTTTGTCTAGAACTACAGGTTTGAGGTCTCATGAGCCTTTCCCCATCCATGTTAACATGTCTGTTGGTGTCATCCTTGTTGTTGTTAGGGAAAACATGTTGAGACTTTATAGATGTAGTTTCTGACATATCCGAGGTTGTGAGACACAATCTCACAGCAAAGTCTCTGTTCCTCTGGCTCTTACACTCTTTCTGCCTCCTCTTCTGCAATGATTCCCGAGACTTAGCTGCTTAGAGGCTGGAGTAATCCAAGCACGAACTGCCACAGTCCCCTTGGGAGTAAAAGCCACCTGCAGCAGCAGTTCAGGGTGACATTGCTGCTTGCTGTCCTAGTGGACCCCATAACACAACAAGCCAATGCAGGAGAGTTAGCACCCAATGGAAGCAAGCAGATACCCTACACATCGAGATGCGAAGGAATCATAAGGCACAATGGAGCTGAGACACAGCATCCTACAGCAGCATTTTGTGTTCCCATTGTGTGTCTCTTTCCCCTGTCCACGCATCTCTTTTCCCCTGGGATAGAGCCTCTAACTCGAGCATTAGCACAGAACTTTGCTTGCTTTGGGCCCTTGCTTTATGGAGAGGCTGAACTAAGATAGCCCGGCAGCACTGGGAGCTATGCAGAACATTAGAACATAAAGCCCTATCATCCGTGTGTGGAGGCACAGCTCAAATTTTTGATCAGGGACCTGTGTAAGAAGACGGTGAGCAAGTCCAAGGGCCCCGGGAGTCAACACTGTCATACTTCAGAAGGAACAAGGTGAACTGTTAAAGGATATAAAGGGGAGCGACTATGTCCTAAAAATGGAACCAACTTATTTGACTGGACTGTTAAAATAAAAACATTGGGTTTTTTTTTTTTTTTTTTTTTTGGACGTGGAGCTTGAAGTTTCTAAGTTTTGCAATTCTTCCCAGTGCTGTTGCTCAGTGATCAATCTCACTCTCAGGAACACAGTTCAGATCAGTTGCCAGATAAGTTCCTAGAGAACAGCCCACTTAGATTTAAGCACAATGCCCGATCCCTATTCACTATTGCACTTAGTAATTGGCTACCAAAGATTATATTACAGCCTCAAAAAAGGCTAAATGTTCAGATTTCTGGAATTTAATTTGGTTGATTTTGACTTTTTAATTTTTTGAAACAGGGTTTCTCTGTAGGTTTGGAGCCTGTTTTGGAACTAACCAACTCTTGTAGACCAGGCTGGCCTCGAACTCACAGAGATCTGCTTCCCAAGTGTTGGGCTTAAAAGCGAGCACCACTACCCGGCTTCGTTACTGTTTTAATGCTGGCAACTTTCAGAGATCATTTTGTTATAAAGGACCTAGGTAATAAGGAGATCAGACTTCCAAAAGAAGAATGGAATGCTACTCAAACATGAGCTGTATATCACTAAGCCAAGGCAAAGAGAGGAAAGAAACCACTCTGGAGAAGAGTAGGGAATTTAGGGAAAAGAAAGAAATATCCTAGGCAGGGGTGCTACTGCGAATGAAACATGGGATGTGGCTGGCTACTCATTTCTAATATACACATCTTTTTAAGACAGTTATTCCTTGAGGGCCCCATCCAGAGGGACTAGTTCTATGGTAAGAGCAGGAAGGTCAGCTATAATGGAGATTTTATCTACAAGATGGCTTTCATTTTCTCTTCAACACCAGAAACATGGTCTGAGCCTGGCCATGGTGGCATATACCTTTAATTCCAACATTCAGGGAGGAAGAGACAGAGGGATCTCTATGAGTTCGAGGCCAGCCTGGTCTTCAGAGTGAGTTTTAGGACAGTCAGACATACATAGAGAAACCCTATCTCAAAAAAAAAAACAAATAATAAAATAAAACTTCTGAAACAACACCCCATAAGTAACATTTCAGACCCGAATAACCTCCCTAAATAACTGAAAGTCCTCTGATTTTCTGTTTTTTCCTCATCTCTCAATTGTGTATTCCTTCTTGAACAATCTTACAGGCAATCCCACTACCAGCTTTATGTAATATTATCAGAGAAGGCTGACCTTCAAAGCTTTCTCTTAAATATTGATACAGGCTGACGTTTTATCTCAGTTGTAAAACACTTGCCTTGGGTATGCAAGCTCCAGGGTTCACTCCCCAACAACTCCTCCTCCACAAAATATTGATGATTCATATTTATTCCCTATTATTCTTATAAATCTAAATAAGAAAATATACCTAGAGAGGAGAAACGGGAACTAAAAAGTAGAAATATTTTTGTTAGCATTCATTATTCAACAACAGACTCAAACCAACACAACCCAAAAGCAAGAACATGTGAGG